CAACCAACCAACCAACGAACTAACTCACATCTGGTCGTGTCTGTAGTTTAGAGAGGTAGAAGGATTTGTCGCTCCTAAACGGACAGGCAGGCAGACAGACATGCAGGCAGGCAGGCAGGCAGACAGACAGACAGACAGACAGACAGACAGACAGACAGACAGACAGACAGACAGACAGACAGACAGACAGACAGACAGACAGACAGACAGACAGACAGACAGACAGACAGACAGACAGACAGACAGACAGACAGACAGATAGACAGAGAGAGATAGACAGACAGACAGACAGACAGACAGACAGACAGACAGACAGACAGACAGACAGACAGACAGACAGACAGACAGACAGACAGACAGACAGACAGACAGACAGACAGACAGACAGACAGACAGACAGACGGACGGACGGACGGACGGACGGACGGACGGACGGACGGACAGACAGACAGACAGACAGACAGACAGACAGACAGACAGACAGACAGACAGACAGACAGACAGACAGACAGATAGACAGACAGATAGATAGATAGATAGATAGATAGATAGATAGATAGATAGATAGATAGATAGATAGATAGATAGAAAAGATAGATAGATAGATAGATAGATAGATAGATAGATAGATAGATAGATAGATAGATAGGTAGATAGGTAGATAGGTAGATAGGTAGATAGGTAGATAGGTAGATAGGTAGATAGGTAGATAGGTAGATAGATAGATAGATAGATAGATAGATAGATAGATAGATAGATAGATAGATAGATAGATAGATAGATAGATAGATAGATAGATAGATAGGTAGATAGATAGATAGAGATAGATAGATAGATAGATAGATAGATAGATAGATAGATAGATAGATAGATAGATAGATAGATAGATAGATAGATAGATAGATAGATAGATAGATAGATAGATAGATAGATAGATAGATAGATAGATAGATAGATAGATAGATAGATAGATAGATAGATAGATAGATAGTCAGTCTGGACGACACACCAACCAAACAAACCCTCAGACTCCACGCTCAGCCTCCTAATGAATTGTACTTAGGTCACCTGCAACGGCTGCACCGCCCGAGTGTAACTTGCTGACCCATGCGGAATTCACTTAAATAAACAGAGCGGCAACCCCTGAGGCCGTGAAAACATTACATACAATAAACAGACAATGTATTGATCAGCACTCATAGAAAGAAATAGCAAGACACTATAGGCAGCGTGCAGATAGTATAAATAAATTGTTAACGCGCAGGGGCAATAACTCTTAAGTCACAGGCGTGGAACTAACTAAACGCGCGTGTCATTGTGTGCTTTTTTTATTTACATTTCAACTGGTTCACATGTTTCAAACTTTTAACTATTAGCTTCTTAACAAATTGATGTAACTGTACCGCAAACCAGGATTTGACAGAACGTTCAAAGGTAAATTAGAATTGTAATAATAAAGGTCTAATATAGTCTGAATTTACATAAGTATATTTTATGTATTGTATAGACTTCGTAACATCTGGTTTAAGAGAGCTACTTTGCAAGGGAAGCTATGTGTACTTCCTGTTGCATATACACTAATAATCATTTCTCGTCCTTTATAGGATGAAATTTTTCGTTATTTGAAGCCCTACTCACCCGCATGGTGGCACATTGTGGCATCGGGTGTTTATCGCTTGTGTGATGTCCTGGTGGGGTAGAAAGTTAGTAATTCCCGTCCTTTTTAGGATGAAATTTTTCGTTATTTGAAGCCCTACTCACCCGCATGGTGGCACATTGTGGCATCGGGTGTTTATCGCTTGTGTGATGTCCTGGTGGGGTAGAAAGTCAGTCAGTTAGTACTTCCCGTCCTTTTTAGGATGACATTTTTCGTTATTTGAAGCCCTACTCACCCGCATGGTGGCACATTGTGACATCGGGTGTTTATCGCTTGTGTGATGTCCTGGTGGGATAGAAAGTTAGTAATTCCCGTCCTTTTTAGGACGACATTTTTCGTTTTTTGAAGCTCTACTCTGGCTCTCGCCAGGGGCCGCAATATAGCCTGGCCATAAATATGCCCTAAAGGCTGAACGCGGTTTCTGGGACCCCTCCACGGTGATCCTCACCCACATGGTGGCACTTTGTGTCATGTCCTGGTGGGTTAGAAAGTCAGTCAGTCAATCAGTCAGAAACTATGGGGGACCGGTGGCGACCTTAAAGGCACAATCCTTTTTGTGACGCAGACGGGATTCAATGTTTATCATGACTGATGTTGAACGCAGAAGAAGAAAAAGAAGAAGTAGAAGAACAAGAAATACTTCGTAACTTTATTAAACTCTAAAGAAATCGTTTACCGTATTGTGGGATATTACATAGGTATTATGTGATATAGACAATGTCTTTCATACCATAGAACAAAAACTGTCCCTATTTGTCACGTTTTAATATACAAGTATTACATTTTCAAATTATCATTCTAGGTTACGTAGTCTAGTGGTTATGACATTCGCCTCACATGCGAAAGATCTTCGATTCAAACCCCAAGTGAAGCAATTTTTTTTTTTTTTTTTTTGTTTGTTTGTTAATTATTGTAAAGTTTATGTTTCATTATTCACACCACTTTCTTCAACGGAAATGGAAATCAGTAAGTGATATGTCGGTTGACAAGATAGTACTAGTGTGACTGCGATAGCCTGCTGGTTAAACAAGCGTTTCCAACAGCGGGAGTATACAGTATGAGGTTCCGGTCCAATATGAAGGACTAGGCATGGCAGAATTTTTTGCCCCACGGTGTTGGACTTTTTTTCCTCCCCAGAAAGGATCTTGGCTCCCAGGCCGACCCAAACTTAACTAAGTACCAGGTACAGTCCTATGCCAGTGGTTTTCAAACTTTCTTATGCCACGACCTTTTAATATAGTTCCTCATGTTGTGGCACACTCCGACCCCCCCCCCCCCCCCCCCCCCCATTAAAAAAATTTCGCTGTTGCTTCATAATTTTTTTTCGCGTTCACCGGCTGTAAACTCCGGCAGAAAGTTATTGTTGTTCGTCCACTTCTGAACTGCAGTCCTGTTTCAGAACATGAGTGTTGCGTGTGTATCCATTTGACAAATCTGTCTGATTTGTATGCAGACTGTTGGTTCCGTGACTGGTTCCGTAATTGCACTCCACTTCGAAGGAAGCTCTAAATTAATCGACTCTAACGACCAGCTTTTGGGTAGGCAGTGGTTCTATTATGGTTTTCCCTGTAATAGGGCCCCGGAACCCACACACACACACACACAGCTGTTGCTTCATGACTTCAGTGAATATGTGTTTTCCAGTGGTCACTGGCGACCCCTATGAAAGGGTCGCGACACACAAGTTGAGAACCGGTGTCCTAGGAACGAAGGCGGACGTGATTTCGACCACATCATCTACCGAATGCCGATTGGTCTATAAAATATAGTTCTAGCCCTATATGCCCAATACGCCTGATCCCATAGAATAGGCTCCTTTACTTTACTTCACTTCACTTCGGTGCTGCCCTGCTGGCGCAAACATGGTCCTTTACTTTTATCAGAAGGTGTTACAATCGAAAGTTGGCGATCGTGAAACCAGTTTCACTTTTCCGTGTTTAGTTGCACTTTAGCACATGGCCAACCAGGCAATACTTGTACGTCTAGGCATGGTGTTTATTCAACAGCCTGCAGAGCTTTGTCAGATTTACATACATCTTCATTAAATCCATACATCGAGGTGGGATTACCCACGATGAACCAAACTTAGAAGTAGGACATACACCGGAAGTTTTCGTTAAACTTGGTATTTTATCTGAGATTACGAGTATTACACGCCGTCCCACCGACGTCTGTGGCTTAAAGGCTTTGAACTGTCGTTACTTGGTGTCCCTTATGACATCCGGTTAGGTTCACCTTATTCTCCCCAAATAGAGTAGGTTACTTTTCATTTACAAGTTTGTTGGGCTGGTCGACTTTCCTGAAGGTTACTGGCGTGTCCCGCTATATTGTTTGCTTTTTGTGATGTCTCGCATTTGCGTTTTCATACCGATAACGAACATGCCCGCGACATAGGTTGCAGCTCTTTTTAGGGGCGGGGGGGGGGGGGTGTTGTTAGGACCAGTTTCCCCATGTTTTTAAAGTATTAAAAGCGCTGACGTGCTGAAATATACAACACGCTATATCAACGGCATTGCTGAACACTCCCGTAACCTTGTGCCAAGGTGACAGGTTCAGGAACTACCAATCAGAAGTGAGCTTGTGTGTATATGTGCAGGGAGTGGGGAGATCAACGTAACTTTTACCCGACATTCTGTCACAACGGTCCCACCAAAACGGCCGGGACACATAGAAAAAAAAAAACACGACTGTCCTAGTAAAAACGGGACGTCTGATAGCCCTATTTCTAAGACATCGATTGCCATACTGAACGTTCGTTATGTTCGTATCGTATTCCGGGATGGTGACGTCACGTCAAGTTGACGTCATCAGCCCTACCTCCCGTAGGGTCCGACCAGGACGTCCTGCTGCTTCTACTTCCGGAGGTCACGGTCCGACCACGACGTCCTGCCGCTTCTACTTCCGGAGGTCACGGTCCGACCTACTAGTGCTCCGTCCCACGATGCGGCAGCTATCTCAGTGTCTCCATACACAATGTAACCACAGGGCGTTAGTTTTTAGACGTTTAGTTTTTGTTCACACTATCGCTCTGGCCGAACGGTTAGAACGCTGGGATCTCAAGCAGGAGACCCAGGTTCAAATCCTCGGTAAGGCTGCGATTTTTGTTTCTGTCGGGGGCAAAATAGAATCCCCACCTGCACAGTCGTGGCGACAGCACTAGCCATGTGGCCTAAATCCTCTGACTCGAAGACCCCCCCCCCCACCCCCACCCCTCCCACGCCTACACCGCAAAAGTGGTTTAATAGAGGCAGTAATTTGCAGTTGGTAGTTAATGTAGACTATCACAGCTTAACCGATATTATGTCTCTTTGTTTTCAGGTTTAAGAGTCGGGATCTCAAGAAGATGGAAGCCGGATCATCTACTGCCGGTTTTACCTGGCCCGACTACTTGGTGTTCGGTATCATGCTTGTCGTGTCATCCATCATCGGCTTGTACTTTGGCTTCAAGACCAAGAGACAGCACGCTGGCGCCGACGAGATGTTGACAGGTGGGTCCCCCCCCCCCCACATAAAGCGGTGTGATCGATCAATCTATCAGGTTATCTCCTCCGGGATGCTACCTAAGGGTTTACCATACCATCCCGAGATTTCAAAATCTCGGCCTGGACCGCAGATCAACAGGGCAGACTCTAGATACCCGGTTCAACCTCTAAAGAAGTCATAATTAGAGCATCCGCAACTGCTACGCAGAAATTAAAGAGAGTTGTATGCAGCAGAAAGCAATGGCAAACTACTGGATGTGAATTCGCCTAGAAAAACCACACAACAACCAGGGGCTGGGATTGGTTCTGCAACGTCCTGTAAAGGATACTCAACTAACCTGAATGCAACAGAGCAAAGTGGGGTGGAAGAATCAAACGCGAGCTCTAGGTGACTTCTAACGCTACGTAACAAACTTAATATAACCCTTGACCCTTTAGGGTCGTGGGGGAGTTTTCGTTGATGGATACACTAGTACATTAAAACCCGCCATCTTTCTCCGTCTTCCGCTTGATAAATAAGTGTATGATAACTTAGTCCTGCCCATTTCTTGATGTTGTCATTCCCGGTTCTTCTTTGCATTCCTCTTCTTCGAAAAAGTTCCATGAAGTAGTCTTTGCAATCGAATCATGTCTCACCACGTGCCCAAACCAAGCTAGCTTGCGACGTTTCACCACTGCCAAGAGAGGCTCCTGATGTCCTGCAAATGTGAATATTTTGTCTCTGATATATTTATTTTGTGTTCTAAATAACTAGCTTATTTCACAGGTAACAGAAATCTGCCGGTTCTACCAGTGGCCCTGTCCCTTAGCGCCAGTTTCACGTCTGCCACGACAATCCTTGGGATCCCTGCTGAAGTGTACGCTCGAGGCGGCGAGCAATGGCTGTGGTGTTTCGGTCTCTTTTTCTGTTTCATCATAGTCGGTTCATTTATCGTGCCCTTTTTCCATGAGCTCCATCTCACCAATGCCTACGAGGTGAGTCTTCATCACTATCCGTGTTTTGTCATTTCAGTTTTTTTATACTTTCTGTACTTTCAATTTCCTATTGTATAAACTTTCTATATTTCCAACTCTGTATACTCTCAACTTTATATATTCTCAGCTTTATATATTCTCAACTGTGTATATTCTCAGCTCATCTTTATATATTCTCAACTTTGTATACTCTCAACTTTATATATTCCCAACTTTATATATTCTCAACTGTATATATTCCCAACTTTGTATATTCTCATCTTTATATATTCTCAACCTATCTTTTTATATTCTCAACTTTGTATATTCGCAACTTTATATATTCTCAGCTCATTTTCATATATTCTCAACTTTATATGCTCGCTACTTCCAAGAAAGTGACAAAAAAGAATGATGCGAGCATAGAAAGACACACAGACATATAGATAGAAAGGAAGAAAAGATGTAAGAAAGAAAGAAAGAAAAGATGTAAGAAAGAAAGAAAGAAAGAAAGAAAGAAAGAAAGAAAGAAAGAAAGAAAGAAAGAAAGAAAGAAAGAAAGAAAGAAAGAAAGAAAGAAAGAAAGAAAGAAAGAAAGAGAGAAAGAAAGAAAGAGAGAAAGAAAGAAAGAAAGAAAGAAAGAAAGAAAGAAAGAAAGAAAGAAAGAAAGAAAGAAAGAAAGAAAGAAAGAAAGAAAGAAAGAAAGAAAGAAAGAAAGAAAGAAAGAAAGAAAGAAGAGGAAGATCACGAGACAATGTTCAGTAAGCCAGCAGACACCCACAGACAAGGTTAACCCCTGTTTCTATGACTTACAGTACCTGGAGCTGCGCTTTAACAAAACCATCCGCTACCTGGGATCCATGACGTTTGCTGTGGTTATTGTAAGTGCTCTCCCTTTACTGTAGCTTGTTTAATCTTGTACTGTAAATAAAGAACATATTTGAAACATTTGATTAGTTAACCACTCATGGGCAATGGGGTTTCGGTGCGTGGAACCTTTTGAACTTCCTCCGCAAAACAACACCAAAAAAATGTAAAAAGTAATTTGAGTTAGGGCTGCTCTCCCCCCCCCCCCCCCCCCACCCCGAACCCCCCAAATCCCTCAAAGTAAAATTCTAAGGAGCTAAGCAACAACCCACCCCTTCCCAATCCACGTATAGAAAGAAACTTAACTTGTGTTTTTTACACTTCTTATTATTTATAATATATTATTACAATTACTTGCATTTTAGCAATCATTATTGCAATTTCCCAATTTCTGGACTGATATAGCAAAGGTTTCGTTGCCCAGCTTCTGAGTCAAGTGCTTGAAACAACACTGTGATCTGTGGATTTCGCGTGGAACTGTCGGTGCCAGTGGCAGTGTTTGTGTTGTGAACAGCACTAATAATGACGGTCGGAAGGTTCCGTTCGAAATTGGCGTGTACTTATGCAACACTGTGTGTGTAAATGACGGATGGCGTGACTGACTGCTAGTATGAGCAGTGAGCTGAAATTCTGATGGGAGACTGTTAGTGTTGGCCATTCTGACGGCTGCCCTGTTCAGTTACTTTGCGCATGCAAACCTCCAGATTTTGCTGAGACGGAAATATTTTTTACACTGCCTTCTCTAATAAATAGAGAAGGCCGTAGTTTTTCACTGTAGTGCGTTTCAAAACTCACGCCGCCTCACGTAAACAAATATTTCCAAAACTCTTCCACGTATCGACTCAAATTTCAACAAGTGGCCTTAGGTTTCTCCTGTCCTTGTCATTCTAGAGGGGCCGCGTTAGCGCAGTCGATAGGAAACTCGCTTTCAAATCCAGCTGCGACTCGCTGCAGCACACAGCTCACCCAGCCTCTAGGTAATGGGTACCAGAGTTATTACCCTGGGGTAAATGGAGGAACGTTGCTGTATCTAAGCAGTTGCAGGCGGGACGGCGACACAGGCGGACCATTCTTATCAGCTGTACGTACTGGCGGCAGAGCACTAATGGTTTATAACCGTGTGCAATGACACTGGTTCACATCTCCCGACTTTACCTTTACAATTTTTTGTGATTCTAAATTTTACAATTGATCAGATACTGCTCTTTTCTTAAAGCGGCAAATTTATTTGATCTAAGTTTGGCTAAAAATGTATGTATTCCTTAAAAAAATGTACAGTAATTGGCACACATGAGGAGATTTTTTTTTAAATCAGTTGATATGTGCAGCGACGCGTGGTGATTTTTTTTGACAGTCTATTCCCCACTCAATAAAAACAAATCTGCAACTCACGGGAGACTTGTGCTGGAGATGACTACCTGGGAGTGAAACGTCTGTGACACGCGTGCAATATGATGTTTTGGAACGTTTCCCTTACTCAGTTTACTCAAGTTATTGTAGGCATGCTGACTGTTTGCTTTGAATGGGTGTCTGTTCATTCAAAGACGGTGTGTTGAAAAATGAACAGGCGGACCGATTAGCTGGCCCTGCACAGCTTGATGGAATACTGAAGCATGATAAGGCAGATGTGGTTAGTGCCTTGTGGGAGAGTTCGGAAGAGCAGATGGATCACCACAGTCTGGTGAGATTGATGCAGTTGGGAGTGACGAGAGGTTCTGGCAAATGCTCGAGGCTCAGAGGAAAGGCAAGATAGACGTTTAATCACAATGCTACCGGCACCATTAGTATTGGAACTCTACACTGGCTGCTGAAGATGGGGACGAAGCGCTTATGGGAGTGCCCAGAGTGCTGTGATGTCGGTTCTTGAATCAACTTAACTCATACAAGCCAAAGTGAAAACTGACGCAGGTTAAGTCCTGGGAAGTTAAGACGGCCAACGCCATGTTGTTCACATCACTCGCCGAGTGCAGATTAGTCTAAAAATATATAGGTCTTGCCCGATATGCCCAGTACACATAATGGCATAGAAAGTGTCCTTTACCTTACTTTACTTATGAAGTCGCTTTTCCCAGGAAGATTCCAAAATCAACATCCAATTCGCTGGCAAAACTCAACCGTTTGCCATAGACACCGTTCATCGCTTGCATCATTCAGTAGCCTTTAGCGCACTGCACACCAACCTACTGTCGCATTTGTTCAGTAGTTCACAAACCGCGACAAAATAAACATGGACACTGCCAATGTCTGTCTCGCCAGCTGTGAAATTAGTGTCGTGATTGTTTTCTAAAGAAGAAGATAACTCCAAAGGAAAGTGCTTAACATGGCCAAAAATGCTAGTATTTGGGAACATTTATAACATCAGATGGACGATGTGTGACAGCCATTAAGAGCAGAATTGGCCAGACAAAGGCAGCTTTTCAGAAGATGAAAAGTATTTTATGTAATAAATCACTCTCATTAAACATCAGAAAACGAGTATTGAAATGTTATATCGAGCCTGTTCTTCTGTATGGTCGTGAATCTTGGAATGTGAGCAAGCAAACTTAGGAGAACTTGGAGGCTACTGAGATGTGGTTCTTGAGAATAATATTGAGAAAACCTTGGACTGCCAGAATAACCAACATTGAATGCCTGGAAATTGTTAATGAAAGTAGAACGTTATACATAACTATGAGAAGGAAACAAAGGTCTTTGGTCATGTGATCAGAAAATGAGCACTGGAAAGTATCGTAACGACTGGAAAGATCCCTGGTAGCAGAGGCAGAAGCAGACCAAGAGAATGATGGTGGATGGCCTAAGACAGTAGCATGGAGGAATACCATCAGTATAACTGATCCAGAACACCAAAGACCGAGATCTCTGGCGACGTATGAGCGCCTACACCAGCTGGCAAGGCACTTGAAGATTCGTTTCTTTTTTATTAACCAACAAGTCGGAGGTTGATTTTGGAATAACCCTCGTATTTGTCAACATTATCTCCCAGGTTTTAGCAAATTTACAAAGGTCGTGGATATTGTCTGAACCAGGTGCTACTTGCTATCATACCATGCCATATACCCACGCTATTATTGTCTGTTTTACTCCTTGCATTTCTCAGTTAAGGTCCCTGTGGCGGAATTGTCACGTTGTTTGCATTGCGTTCTGAAGGTCGTGTGTTCCTTTCACGGCGGTTTCGTGTTCAGTTCACCATGTGCGAATTTTACTGAGATCCCTGGGGATCGTCGTCGGAGCTTATTAGTTCGTGTTTTGTGCGTCGCTCGTGTCAGGCCGTTGTGAGGAGAGAGACCGAGCCATAAAACCCTATGCAATAAAGTCTCGATCCTTTCGACTTTGACTTCAATTAGTTGGGGTCCATTGCTCCAGACTAAGACTGTAGTTAATGTAATATGTACTGTGCAGACCTGATAAGAAGAATTCACCCAGGACACCAGAATTAGTCCTTCTTATCAGAAAAAGTTTAAGCAGCAGCAAAAGAATTGATGGGAATAAGAAACTGTTCTTCACAGCAGAAATTCGTCACATGCGAGATCACCTTAAGCGGTCTGCTCTGTTTTTTAAAGATTAGAAACTAATACATGTCTATGTATTTTGTTTGTCTCCTGATAGCTACTCTACATGGCCGCGGTCCTGTATGCACCGGCTGTTGCTTTAAGCCAAGGTAGGTTTGTATGTTTGTGAAGATTCTGTCTGTGTGGCTGGTATATTTGTTCATCGGTTAGTTTTTCTGTGGTTCAAAACTCTCTAGCGTAGTTATTAGTCACTTAACCCCAGGGTCTACACATCATGTTTCTTCTTCTTCTGCTTCCTCGCTGCTTGTTTGTTATCTGATTATTTTCTTCTTCTTCTTCTACTACTACTACTACTACTACTACTACTACTACTACTACTACTACTACTACTACTACTACTACTACTACTACTACTACTACTACTACTACTACTACTACTACTACTACTACTACTGCTGCTGCTGCTGCTGTTGCTGCTACTGCTACTACTACTACTACTACCACCACCACTAATACTACTACTAATACTACTAATACTACTACTAATACTGCTGCTGCTGCTTCCTCGCTGCTTGTTATCTGATTATTTTCTTCTTCTTCTTCTACTACTACTACCACTACTACTACTACTACTACTGCTGCTGCTGCTGCTGCTGCTGCTGCTGCTGCTGCTGCTGCTGCTGCTGCTGCTGCTACTACTACTACTACTACTACCACCACCACTAATACTACTACTAATACTACTAATACTACTACTAATACTGCTGCTGCTGCTGCTGCTACTGTTTCATTAAGAACGCAAATGCCAAGCTCGCTGTCCTTAAACTCCCTCCCATAATACCAAATGTTCCACTGAAACCTTACAACGACTGTCCCCCTTGGCTCAGGGATAGCCTACCAACAGTCAGAACGACTGTAACAGGGATCTCCTCCAAATCATCAATGAGCAGCATTGATATAAAATCAACTACAGAAGGAGAGATCAACAGACTTTATCCACACCAGAGTTGGATTCGAGTGTATACAGATGGTTCAGCCAAGAGAGCAGTAAGAGACGGAGGAGGAGGAATATAAATAGAATGCCCAAATGGTTTAAAAATCAACCATGCTGTACCAACAGGTTCATATTCCTCCAATTACAGAGCAGAGGCAGAAGCACTTCTGGCGGCATGTTCTTTCCTGAATGGACAAAAGCATAGCAAATATAGCAGAGTGGTCTTTCTGACTGATGCTATCTCAGTTCTACAAGCAATTGTTAACCCAAGAGACACTCAGTTTGTAGACTTGACGCAACAGCTGATTCACTTAGGTTCTTGAGTAGAACAATCTGAACTGTAATTGACTCCAGGTTACTGTGGCTTGGAAGGCAATGAAATAGCGGACAGATTGGCCAGAAGCGGCAGTGACATGGTAAAACCAAATAGCGACTTAACCCACCAAGAGATGAAAACATTAATACAATCTAGTATCCAAGAAAGGTGGCTGGATACCCACACCAGATTTTCTCCCCAAGGCTCACTTCATCGCCTCTCTAAAGAGGGACAGTGTATTATATTAAGACTAAGGACTGGGCACAACAGATTTCGTCAACATATGTTCAAAATTTTTCAATGTAGGAAATACGGAGATTTGTCCCTGCAGCGTGGCACCCGAAAATGCTGAGCATGTGCTCCAACACTGTCAACTGTATGCTGACAACAGAGACGCAATCTGGCCTGTTCCAACCACACTGAAGACAAAGTTGTATGCTATGGGAGACCGGTGGCGACCTTTAACGCACAATCCTATTTGTGACCCAAGAGGGACTCAATGTTTAGCATGATTGATGTCGAACGCAAAAGAAGAAGAAAGAAAGTTGTATGGTACACGAGAGGATATGGACTGCACGATAGCTTTCATAAAGGCTATCAGCCTCCTGATATAAGTTTTCTGACAGAAGGATCGAAGAAGAAGAAGAAGAATCTGCTACTACTGATTGATTGGCACCTTTCCGTCTTTCCAGACGATAGTGTTATTTTGCGCTTTGAGGAGGTCTGGTCTCACAGCATATAGTGATGGCGAGTGTGACTAGCAAGTACTAGTAATAATACTGTAACTACAACTACTATACTCTACTTCTACGACTACTATTCCAACTACAATTACTATTACTATTGATAGGGAAGTTGTGCACTTTTACTGAAGAATCACTAAGAATAAACAAAGGACATCTTGTTTAGTGATTCTTGTATTGTTTCGTTTTTATAACCACACTTGATATAATCTTTTACATTTTCAGTAACGGGTTTTTCAAAAGAGATTTCAATTTTAGCAATGGGGGCCGTGTGCACTTTCTACACGTCTATAGTAAGTCGCCATTTTTATTTTTTTTTTAAATTTGTCATCGATAACGTTTTAACTAACATATGTTCCTAAAAAATGAATGAACTATTTATTTTCTCCATGTCATGCCGGTGTTTTGGGAAATTAGCAGGCAGATAGACTAGTCGGCTCTGCACCACTTGGTGGTGAACTGATATCTGACAAGCTGGATGTTGTGACGGTTCTTTGGGGGCGAGTGAACAGTGTAGAGGCACAGATAGATCGTTACGGTCTGATGAGAATGACGATGCGAGGATTTAACAGGTGGATCTAGCCAACGAAAGACGAGACGGATATACAGTCAGAGAGTTACTGGGGCCATTGTATTAGAACTTTTCGCTTGCTGCTGAAGATAGGGATGGGGCGCTTATGAGAATGCCCCAATGCTGTTATGTCGATTCTTAATTCAACATTTAACAACGAGGAAGTAAATGGCTGATAGATACATGAATTAGATCATGTTTAATGACTCTACTGCGCTTTAGTAGAGCCGACATGAAGTAAAATGAGATGGGATGGGGGCGCCGGCCTCCTTGTCAAAGAATTAGGTCCCTAAGTGTGCTGTATTCTTCCGGCGGAAAGTTCCGCTAGTTCGCTCATTTGAACTTTTGGCTTTTACCTAGACCTGAGTGTTGCGTGTACATCCGTTTTACTTGCTTATTTGTTTGCTGTTCCCTGTCTCACCGGTAGATGTACTCCGACTTCGAGGGAAGGCGTCAGGCTTATCTCTAGGATAACTGTGGCCATTTGAAGAGAACCCGGTTCTAGACCCTCTCGACTTGAACCTAAACCTTTCAACATTCGTCTTCTTTCTCTGTCTTTCTTACACCCAATGAGGCATACGCCCTCAACCAACTCACGCCAAGTGGTTCTATCCTTCGCTATCCCATGCAGCTTTCCCTATGACCTCCCCAACTTTTTAATTTCACTCTCTACCTTCCTTTGCCGTATGGTTGTCCTTTATTCCTTTTAGGGCTGTACCGAATATTCGCTTCGTATTCGCTTCGGGGCCGAATAGTGGACCTAATAACTATTCGGTATTCGGCCGAATAGTTGCGGTCAGGCCGAATACGAATAGTTGTTACCTTACACCCGTTTCTGAACTGGTGGAAAATAAACATATCAAGATTTCTCATCTTGGTTCATACTGTCAAGCGTTATCTTTGTGCACCACCTACGAGCGTACTAAGTGAGCGTCTGTTTAGTACAGTTGGAAATACCTTCAGTGAGACAATAAGCTGCCATAGTGCTGACAATATGAAACGAAGGTTAACGAAGGTTTTTTTTTAAAGCGATCAATACGAAGATGGTCACAGGACATAAGTGACTCCTTAAATAGGAAAGTACACGAGGCGGGAGAGCTGGTGAGAAACAAGAGTTCTTTCAGACAGACCGTGATGATAACTTCCTGCAATGGATGATGATGATGATGAATATGAAATTGCAAAAAAATTATGTAAAAGATAACATTTAACATTCGTGTTTATTAACAATAAAATAGATTATTGTGTGTGTGTATATATATATGTGTTTCAATGCACCAATAAAAGCTTTTCTTTTTATTTATAAAAACAAAAGTTTTAAAAATATATTTTGATAACAATTCCATACTTGCAAATCCCAGGGTGGGATCCGCGCGGTTGTGTGGACTGATGTCTTCCAGCTGGTAGTCGTGTGGGTGGGTCTGCTGGTACTGATGTTTAAAGGAGCTAACGATGCCGGAGGATGGGCACAAGTTTGGCAGATCTCTCGTGACGGATCTCGGCTGCCAAAGTTTAAGTAATCTTATGTTGCTTTCTTCTTCTTCTTTCTTCTTCTTCTTCTTCTTCTTCTTCTTCTTCTTCTTCTTCTTCTTCTTCTTCTTCTTCTTCTTCTTCTTCTTCTTCTTCTTCTTCTTCTTCTTCTTCTTCTTCTTCTTCTTCTTCTTCTTCTTCTTCTTCTTCTTCTTCTTCTTTTTCTTCTTCTTCTTTTTCTTCTTTTTTTTCTTCTTCTTCTTCTTCTTCTTCTTCTTCTTCTTCTTCTTCTTCTTCTTCTTCTTCTTCTTTCTTCTTCTTCTTCTCTTCTTCTTCTTCTTCTTCTTTCTTCTTCTTCTTCTTCTTCTTCTTCTTCTTCTTCTTCTTCTTCTTCTTCTTCTTCTTCTTCTTCTTCTTCTTCTTCTTCTTCTTCTTCTTCTTCTTCTTCTTCTTCTTCTTCTTCTTCTTCTTCTTCTTCTTCTTCTTCTTCTTCTTCTTCTTCTTCTTCTTCTTCTTCTTCTTCTTCTTCTTCTTCTTCTTCTTCTTCTTCTTCTTCTTCTTCTTCTTCTTCTTCTTCTTCTTCTTCTTCTTCTTCTTCTTCTTCTTCTTCTTCTCTTCTTCTTCTTCTTTCTTCTTCTTCTTTTTCTTCTTCTTCTTTTTTTTTTTTCTTCTTCTTCTTCTTCTTCTTTCTTCTTCTTCTTCTTCTTCTTCTTCTTCTTCTTCTTCTTCTTCTTCTTCTTCTTCTTCTTCTTCTTCTTCTTCTTCTTCTTCTTCTTCTTCTTCTTCTTCTTCTTCTTCTTCTTCTTCTTCTTCTTCTTCTTCTTCTTCTTCTTCTTCTTCTTCTTCTTCTTCTTCTTCTTCTTCTTCTTCTTTTCTTCTTCATCATCATCATCATCATCATCATCATCATCATCATCATCATCATCATCATCATCATCATCATCATCATCTTCCAATTATTATTAATATTATTCTTCCTTCTCATTCATCTTCTTCTTTCTCCCCCAGCACCTCTTCCTTCTTCGTCCTATTATTATTATTATTATTATTATTATTATTATTATTATATATTATTCTATCCCTCTTTTTCATTCACCCTCTTCTTTCTCCTTACTCCTTCTTCTTCCTCCTCCTCCTCCTCCTCTCTGGTGATATGATTTTCTATCTCCTCTCTGGTGGTATGATTTTCTAAGACATCTCCTCTCTGGTGGTATGATTTTCTAAGACATCTCCTCTCTGGTGGTATGATTTTCTAAGACATCTCCTCTCTGGTGGTATGATTTTCTAAGACATCTCATCTCTGGTGGTATGATT